CATCCGATGGATATATTCAGTTTGAGTTGCTTTCACTTGCCCTAAACGTTGCGAACAACGTTTCCGTTGGTGGATCAGGAAGTTTAGCCGCGCGGACTGTCACTGTGAATCCGGCCGCCAACACGCCGTCGAAGAAAGATCGCTTCTCCGCCCGTGTTAGTGGTACGAAGAGCGCGACGTGAGTCTGCAGTTGTGCCCATTTCTATCTTCACACTGACTCGTCATCCAGCGTGAATGAAGTGCCGGACTTAGAACCAACCAATCGTTCTCGTGAGAAGAAGAAAGTGTGAGTCTTTCTTCTGTGACAAGGCGTCAGAACGGTGTTAATCTTATAATTAGTGTCACAGAAGAACATGACGTTGGGGGTGGTCGAAATACTCCATCGGCGTCGACTTCGAGACTTCCACCCGAGGCGTATCATCCTCAGACCCCCGGTTTGTACGAAAGCGAGGCGACTTCAACGGCAACATCGACGTCAGAGTCAATTTTAGCACAGTTAGAACCTGAACAGTTGAGAGCCATGGTGGCGATGTTGCCGCCAAAGACTGGTGATAGCGAAAATCGGCGATCTCCCTCGCCTGCAGGACGTGGGAAGCGACCTCGTAAGTCTAAGAAGTAGATGCGAACACATGTTTCGAAAAAAGGGTTTAATTTACTGGTTGTATTACCTACACTAGTGACTCGGCTGTTGTAAAGGCTTCTGTGATACATTTATGCTACTCCGAATATCACACATGCGTATTCGATTGTTGGTTCCTTGGCGCTAAGTTCACCCTAAGACACCCTTAAGCGCTTCTCTACGAGTAGCTGTCGACTGTTTCCATTGCCTCATATAAATACAAAGCGCGTTCCTTCGGTAAGCATTGTTAACCGCCTTTCAATCACCCTTCATGCCTACGATCGCCATACCTGAGAGCGACCTTTATGATCTCATGCGCACACGATTGGTGCCTCTCGCTCATATGTTGAAGGTTATGCGTCTAAGTCTGTCTGATTGGAACACTGTTCAAGTAAGTTCGCCCGAATTAAGTGTCGTTGATAATTATGAATGACTTCAATTGTAAGAGTCGTATGCGGCCGATTGTGGATGCTCACTTGAACAGAGACATACCCTTTGCCCAACAGCCTCAGGACCGACTCTCATTAGTGTTGACTGAGGTGAGTGGCCTGTTTTGACTTACAACATGTGTTCTGATACGGTTTGTAGGGACTGCGTGTGTTACCGGACATGGCAAACTACGCCGAGCTTTGGCCTTTGTCGATGTACACTGAGCTGAACATTTTCGATAACATTCGTCACATGCATGAGCGGCGTGATAAACGCAAATCGCGACGGTCAGGTCGGGGCCTTTCGTTATCGGTATGTTCTGCTTGCCAATAATACGAATGGGCGTTGACCATTTGTTATCACAGTCTGCCTCACACTCGAGCGGTGCTGATATCACTTTGATATCAGTTGAAACTTCTCCGTCTCCCGTCTCAACAACATCAATGACGGTATGCTTTTTCTTTCTGTATGTCATATTTATTCGTGTATTGACCAATCGGTCATAGACGAGTAGCCAAGGAGCCAACAGCTCGTCTGGGTCCGCAATAGACCAGAAGTTGGCCGCTTTCCTTCGGACTGATTGTGGCGTTCCCCTCACGAAAACCGCGGACGCTCTCGCCGCACTCGGCATATCTGATATGGTGACGTTCAACGCCGCTGTTCGGAAGGAAAATGGAGAAGCTTTTGAAGAATTCATTGAGAAGAACGGCGCGCAGCACGGTTTGACTCTGTGGGAGATTTTTAGTATGGTCAGAGGGGCGAATAAGCTTCGCAACAGCAAGGAGTAATTCGATAGTTTCCAATGAGATCGAACAACTGTGAAATTTTACGCACTCTCGAGCGCTTCAGTGGTATTCCATTCATTCTACCATAGCTTATCATTGTAACAAACGAGCACTTTACGGCAATGTCATTCGGATAGAAAAATGCGCCCGTCTCTGCTGTCGTGCGTTTGGTATGTTTTTCATTGTGTGTGGACAGGAGATTTAGTCACACTGCCGTGAGGTGGCTCGTCTGCTGTGATTTGGTATTGACAATGCATTCCGCGTGCGATACATCTAATAGAGTACGGAGCTTCAACATTCAGTGTGAATATTAATTCTCCCCTCAGGAGGTGAGGGTGTTGCGGTTCTTTTCCGACAATGAATGGTATGTCGCAGGAAGCTCACTCAATCGCGGGCTTTCATAATCAAACAGGATAATTTCAACGCTCAGGAGGCGAGCTTGGTGCGGTACTGTACCGTCACTGAATGATGTGTTTGCGATGATGAACATTCTCCGGCAAGACTGGCCGAAAGGGTGAATGTCTTCTTACACTCGAAGCGTCTTGGCGCTGACGATCGCATCTATCCATTTGGAGAGTGAATCCCTAACGCAAGAGTTTAAAAGCAGGTGGTGGATGGACTTTATGCTCAGCAAATATTTTACTTTTGCTCTGAAGTCTTCGCGCCCTGTTCGACGACGCTTCAATCGGTAAGTCATTAAGCTTTCTGTTCTCTGATTTTTATTGACGCCGTCAAATTAAGCAACCCTCAATTGCATTTTACAAACACCTACAAACGCCAAATGTATGTCATACTCAGTCTCGTTTTATTTTTTGCTCATGTTGTGTAGACTTCAAACAATGTCTCACGTCACATCTAACTGGCAAACGGGCGCGATAACATCGCCTATGTTAACATGGGGCCAGGTACGAGGAGGGCGAAGGCATGAGTGCATTCATTGTGGCGTTGTACTTCTAACCGGCGAACGAGCCGGTTTTTGTTGCGGAACTCAAGGTGCTCGTCTTGGCGATGTCCCACGCTTACCACCCTTGCCTGTCGAATACAACGACTTCATGCATGACCCCGGCATCTCGCAGCGCTCACGGGTATTGAATCTCATATTTTCTTTCGCAGCACTTGAGTCTACGCATGCTTTCCCAACTGAATCAACTGGTCCTCCCGGCTTCATGGCTATTCAGGGCCGATTGTATCACCGCATCCGGCCTTCCCATCCAAACTCTGCTGTGCGGTGGCTACTGTATGACGGGTTCATGCGAAACACGCCTTTTCCTGAATGGGCAGCACAACTTCCGTCCACTTGGATCGATACTATGCGGGCTGTTCTCCTCCGAGTTAATCCCTTTGTAGCTTCTCTACGGTCGTTGGTGTTAGCGAACGAGCAAGGTTTTCCCCATGCGTATTTATCTCTGGCAGACTCGGGTTCGACGGCAGAGATAGCTGCCATAATGTCGTATGATAACACATCATCTACTCAGGTCCGATCTCGCCGTCTCACTGTGTCGCGTGCTAGAAATGCTATGACACAGTCAATCCCTGCTGTTAGTCGTCTATGGGAGCCATTAGTCTATCCCTTATTCTTTCCACATGGAACAATGGGTTGGGGAATCGCACAGACGGAGGGAGATTTGGACGATGTTGTTCCTGCAGAATGCAACGACCATGCACAAGATGCCCCAACAACTCAAATGTGGTACTATCGGGCATTGTTGTTACGTGAAGATCGGTTTGAAGTATTTGGTCGTCTGACTAACGAATATTTGGTTGACATGTTCAGCCGGAACTTGGAATGTCGTCTATCTTACATCCGACACCACCAACAGCGGTTACTGGCGGAAGACGCTGCACTTATGGGAGAAGATACTGTTGCAGACACAGACAACATATATCTCCCTGCATCATTCCTAGGATCCCGGGCTTGGTCTTCAAACCAAATTGCAGATTCTCTCGCTGTGGCGGGAGCTTTGGGTAATCCAACCTTCTTCATCACTATGACGTGTAACTCTCGCTGGCCAGAGATTCAAGATCGCTTGCGTCCGGGCCAAACTTACGTTGATGTTCCATTGGTTGTGGTTCGCGTGTTTAAAAGAAAACTTGCTTGCCTCTTGCAGTGTCTAAGATCTATGTTCCCAAAAATCGGTCGACCAGTATACATTATTCATTCAATCGAGTTTCAAAAGCGGGGATTACCTCACGCTCACATCCTAGTGAGGTATGACACGGACTGTGTTCTTCCTAGTGACATCGACAACATCGTACCTGCCGAAATACCTTCTGACCCGGATGATGCTCGCTTGGTGACTACTTTTATGCGTCACAATCATCCCCCTGCCGACAAACCTGCTTCAAAATATTGTCAGCGTGAAGTCTCCAGTAGAAACCGTGTGTGTCGCTTCAAATATCCTAAGCCGCTGCAACATGATACGACCATTGATAATGAAGGACGAGTCCATTATCGCCGACGCCGGCTAGGGGACGAAATGATAGTTCCTCACAGTCTCCAATTAATTCGATACTTTCAGTGCCACATAAACTTCGAGGTGGCTAGCACGTCTCATCTATTTCAGTATCTGTTCAAGTACATCAACAAAGGTGTGTTTCTCTATGCTGTGTATAATATATGTTGTTCTTATTCCTTACGGGTGTGGACACGTATAGGACCTGATACTGCGCGCTACAACGTTGCACACCAAGCAGACCACGTTGATGAAATCGAAGAATATCTGAACGCACGGTATTTATCGGCTCCTGAGGCTGCATGGCGTATTATGGGGTTTCACGTGTCGCAGAAGATTCCTGCGGTAACAGATCTGGCCATTCATTTGCCTGGGAGTATACATCGTCGACGATATCAATCATCCGGATCTGACACTTCGCTATCATCACTGGAGCGGTATTTTATTCGCCCTGTTGGATATTTCTTTGACACTTCTGGTATGCAACGCACCTTTGAAACAGTGACATACGCGGAGTATTTTACTATCTTTCGTTTGGCACCGGTCGGAGGGGCGACAAATCAAACCACTTTTGAAGAGAGCCAAGTCATAGCGAACACACCATGCATGCGCGTTATTCAACGTGTGGCACAGCGTACCCATTTATCCCGGCTTCACTCTGTTCTTCCCTCGAAGGGGGAGCCTTACTACTTGCGATGTATACTTAATAATCGGCCGGTTCGCTCATTTCAGGACGCGTTGCTCGTGGAAGGCATTACGCATACCTCGTTTCAAGAAGCGGCATCTGCCATGGGCCTGTTTGCTAATGAACGGGAGGCGTTTCAGGCTATGCATGAGGCTGTTGAAGAACTGAAGACCCCCCGACAACTCCGTGTATTATTTGCCCATTTGCTCCTGAATGACTGTGTTCCTGTTCCATTGGAGCTCTGGGAATTGTTCGGGCCAAGTTTGTCTATTGATTTTGCCTTACGTTTTCCAGATCACGAAGAACTATCAATTGGTCACGCTCTGGCCGAGATACATAAGATGTTAGAGTGTCAAGGAAAATCTCTAGAAGATTATGGTCTCCCACTTCCCAACGTCGTTAGTCGTGAGGTGGAGCATGAGCTTACTCGATGGGGTGCGAACCCTCAAATGCTTGCCGCAAGAGCCAACAATGCATATGTCTCAATGACTCTAGAACAAAGGTTCATCTATGATGATATAGTGTCAGCAATTACGCACGACCGACCAATCTGTGCCTTTGTGGATGGAAAAGCTGGTCGAGGGAAGACTTTCCTCGTCAATGCTATACTTGATAAACTCAGGTCGATTGGACTCATCGCATTGCCAACTGCGACGGCCGCGTTTGCTGCACAGTTATATCTTGGAGGAAGAACAACCCATTCAACGTTTAAAGTGTGTATGAATTTAATTTAATGTAAAAGTATTCTAATCTTCTTTACCTGTTTCTAGGTTCCTGTTAACGAGCGTTCCGAAATGTTGGAATCGCCGGTGAATGAACAGACAGCTCGCGGAGATCTCATTCGGGCTGCCTCTCTCACTATATGGGATGAGGCTCCAATGGCAAACAAAGCAGTCCTGGCATGTGTCAATGATGTTTTCGCGCGAGTTACTAGCAACAGTCTTCCCTTTGGTGGGAAGTCGATATTGCTTCTGGGAGACTTTCGTCAAACTTGCCCTGTTATCAGAAAGGGGACCCGAGCACAGGTCGTAGAGGCTTCTATCAAGTCGTCTACTCTATGGGCAGAGTTCACACAATATCAGTTGACCGTTCCAATCCGTAACTCGCAAGACCCAGAATTCGCAGAGTTTGTTGATTCGGTTGGTGATGGCGCCGGTCCCACAGTCGATCTATCTATGGTTTCACGTGTGCATTCGACTGAAGATCTACTCTCGTTTGTTTACCCTCTGCATGTCGTTCAAGATCCACTCCTTTGCCTCCGACGTGCGATCTTGGCGCCAACTAACCGGCAAGTTGACTTATACAATGACACTGTGTTAAACCAAGTTGCCGGAAATCCTCGTACATATATTGCTGCAGACTCTCTGCGAGAAGCGACGGAAAACGATATAATACCGCCCTCCAGTATCCTTGACTATGTCGCCAATCACACTCCACCTGGTTTCCCTCACCATACTCTGCGTCTTAAAGTTAACTCAGTGTGCAGGCTCCTTCGAAACTTCTCTGTTGAGCTAGGACTGGTGAAAAACGTTCGCGTTGTTGTTATTGGGCTGGGTGCTCGACTCGTGACAGTTCGAATTTTACGAGGTATTGGTGGAGTGACAGCCATAGATCCGGAAGATATACTTCTGCCCCGAATCATGTTTGAAACTACCTTGCCGTCTGGCTTCACCCTCCTTCGCAAGCAATTCCCTCTCGCTGCAGCTTACGCCACAACGTTCAACAGCTGCCAAGGACTTACATTGGATTCCGTTGGCGTTGACTTGACTAAAGACGTATTTTCACACAGTCAACTGTACACGGCGTTGTCTAGAATTCGCCACCGTTCACACGCCATGGTCAGAATGCAACCTGGGAGTTTGTCTGTAGCAAATGTAACATATCAGGAGTTGTTGACCTAGGGTTCGCCTCAGATCACCTCGGATAGTCTCGGGTGTATCGCACGTTAAGATAGTGTTCCTCAAGAATGCAGGATTGTCATTGGTACAATGTATGATACACGAGAATGCAGTGTGTACGCGGATGCCATGAAAAGGCTAGCTATTATTATGTCTATCACATTTGATTGACTCAAGAATGCAGGCGTGTCATTAGTACAATGTATGATACACGTGGATGCAGTGCGCACGCGCATGCCATGAAAAGGCTACCTATTATGTCTATTGCTTTTGAGTGACTCAAGAATGCAGGCGTGTCAATGGTACAATGTATGATACACGAGGATGCAGTGCGTACGTGAATGCCATAAAAAAGCTACCTATTATGTCTATCGCTTTTGATTGACTCAAGACTGCAAGCGTGTCATTGGTACAATGTATGATACACGAGGATGCAGTGCGTACGCGGAAGCCAATTTTATATGAGGGATACTGTAACTCGTTTCTGAATGTGCACGCGACGTACTTTTTGCCATTGCGGCCATCAAGCAGCAAGTTACAGCTAAAGTCTGGAGAGAGTTTGGACTGGTTGTCTTCCGTTTGCCTCCTTTATCTTTTAATCACGCGTGTACGTCAGATAATATTTAAGTCATCTCCCTTCTCATTTGTCTTTACAGAAAGAGTTGCATTATAATGAACCTTCGGATAAGACTCACACTGACATATGTGTAGTGTAGCGTCGCATTGCTCATCCGCATAATCGTGATCTGCTTCCATTTAAGGCTAACTTCTGTGTTAAGACTGACGGAGACGATCTTTCGGATGTCTGATTTGCCGCATTGGGTAACTGTTTGTGTAATATATTCTCACGCCGCATTGAAGACCATCCTGACGGACGTAAAAGGGCTAGCTATTATGTCTGTCGCTTTCGAGTGACTCAACATTATGCACAATTCACCATTGCGTATGTTTTTTGCACTGAATTATCGAAACAGTGTTTCGGTGCGGCACAGGCGTAAGTCTAATTTTCCTCCTCGCAAACGGTGACTACGTAACCGACCACGATGGCGTTATCGCTAAGGAGCTTCCTCCTATGCCATGGATCCTTAACAGAGACAACGATGCTGCAAACTTAGTCCCTTAATCCTTATTGTATTTTTGGCACTCATATTCTAGGAGTCGTTTAAATTCCTATTCATAAAAAGCCATACCTGAGCCTGTCCGCGTATATGTTCGAACCTCTCCCGACGTTGTATTCCTCTCCTTAACTTCATTTATTTGTCAGACAGGAGATTCAGACTCTGGGCCGCTTTTCTATTACAATATAGTTGTCCCTATGTTATGCTGTTAGTATAAAAGTTGAATGGCTGTGGCGATTCCGGACGTTGCAGACTTCTCTCCTTCGCTATGGACAACCAACCTGCGAAACTCGTTCACAAGCCTGCTATGAGCGCCGTTCGAAGAGGTAGATTGATGCCACTTATACATTGGATTGCATGATTCAACAAATTGCTTAGATCCTCTGCGAACTGTCGAACTTAACCAGTTGCGCAGACGATGCGCGGCTGCGTTTCAACGTTTGAACCCGAACATGTTGACTTCCCGCATGGCAGAAACTATGGATTTTTTGGCCGATGACATGGTCGGGTATGCGGTGTATTTGCGAATGCTCTGTATCATTGCAGGCAAGGTTCGTTTGACTATACTATGTCTTGACCATGATACAGTGTTAATGTGATGATAAAAGCAATATCCAGTCCCCAACCCTGTATATCCTCACGAACTGCGCGTGATGCTGCGCTGGAGGAAAACGTCCCATCCTGTGATGCAACAATATGCTCCGATCTCTATCGATTTTCAGGTGTCAGTTGGTTCTCACGCACATATTGCGACGCACCTTGCCACACTAGGCTTTCATTTCGGAACTGCACATCTCATGCGGTTTATTAACGAGCGAGCAGATTTACCGCACTCTTGCGTGTATCGGGTTCGAATTGTCAGCCACAACCGCGATTATTCGATCGGTACTATTCTGTGTACCAAGTTGTTTTTGCCGCGGTATGACACTGTCATTCAAGAATGTGAATCGAGCAGCTCCCGCAACCGACGCAAAGTTTGCGGACAACACATCACTGCTTCTGTGCCTTTCCTTGATGCGTATGGTGATGTATTGGAACCTGTTGTGTCGCGCATGCACAACATCATAGCGTGCGTCATTTATTTTTCTGTTTCATCCACTCGCTCTGATGTGAGTTGGTTCAGCGAATAATTTGGGGTAGTGCTTCGTCGATGACGGTACATTTTGTATAGCCTGTATTGTAATCTATGATGTAGCTGTTTCAGCTTGGATTGCATGAATGTCGTCACGCTCTGTACCATAACGTGTTTCAAGTCAAATAAAGGTGCCCTCTCCTGGGTCGATAGCGCCCCTTTCTTGAACTGTACTTAAGTGTGGAACGATCCGCTTTGATCTGAAACTTCTAACGATGAACGGACTGCCACACTTATCTTCCGTGGCCAGCTTATTACATTCGTTCCTCTCCCAGAGTCGAATTGTCGACAGTGGTGCGTTATCATCCGTCTCGTTTTGTTTTTCCCTGTTGAGTTCGTTGTCAGGGGATTTCGAGGGAATGCCACTGTTGAAGATTAGTGACAATCATTGCATATCAGCCGCTACATTCTCGCACTACCTTAGGCAGACCTTAAATCGCTACACTGATGGCTTTGTCGATTGGCCCGGTTATGTGTTGTTTATATGCTATCTCACGACTGAGGTATGTGTCTAGCTCTTCCGCGAATTTATTACGATTTTAACCGCATTTCAGGATTTTCCCCCTGATCTTCCTTTGTTTCCTGAGCAGGCACGTATTATGCTCCGTTGGGGCGCTTCCAGTCCGGATCTACGTGTCTCAGTCGGCGCGCCAATCTCCGTGCATTTCCACATCTCACGTATTGGCGACAACCACTTGGCAGTTCGCATTGGCGCCCTACTGCAACACTTCGTGCTCCAACATCTCGTCTTAGGCTCATGGCTCACTGACAAAGTCATCCCCAGCGATGCTGTCGAGCGCATTATTCTCACCAGCCATAATGCGCACTATACGACCGGAGTGATCTTCTGTACGGCGGAATTTCGACCCTACTACACCAAAGTATGTGGCCTCTGTCTCGCTCGTGACCGTCCGACAACTTCAATGGTGGACGGCCATCACGTTACTACCAACCTCTCTTCATTCATTGCCAATGAACCCTATGAGGCTCAGCTTCGTGAAATGTTAGAAGCAGCTTGGTAAGCACATTCATGATTCGCGGATACTATGCGTCTGATACATTTTCAAGGAGTGTTGGTCTTTGGGCCCGCTGAATATGAATCCGCCAGGGGTTGTAGCTTGAGTGTATACTATGATTCAATTAGTGCGCAGCCAGCTTGACGTTAAAGTTTGTACTGTGCTCCTGTACCCGCTTTGCCGCCCCTATTGTATTAAGCTTCAATTATTTTCTGCTTTGACCCGTTCCGTGCCATTGCATGCTCCGCCCCTCTTGAATATACTACACTTCATTTCTTTCTCAATAGTACCCCTAGCAAACAATAGGTTGCTTATTTTAACATTCCTGGGCGCCCGAACTCTGCCGCGTTGTCTCCTCGCGCAAATATGATCTCCTAAACACGTCTGTGTGTATTTAAGAACTCGGGCGTTGTTCAAAGTTTCATTATCCAGTTCATGGTTCCAGCGTGGCTTACCTCAATGGACTTTTCTGGTCAGTGTGAAGCATTTATTTCGCCTGGCTGTGTTTTGCTGACCTCTATGAAAGGATTCAACGGTGACATGTCACCCTTCAGTCGTAGACGTGCAGACGATCGTCCTCTTGACTTAGTATTTGCGCTCCGCGCAGCAACTTCAATTGACTACGTCATTAACGGGTCGGCCGAATGGCCTGTGTTTGCTCGACTGGTGACATCTTTTGGACCTGTGCGAATTTTGCTCACTGTCCTTAACAACACATTCACTGATCCGTTACATAGTCGTTCTCGTCTATCATGCACGGATTACCATCCTTTGAAGACTTTCCTATGGTATTTTCTTGGGATTATTCCTCAGACTTCTCGCGATTTCGCTGCCGAGGACCCACTGTTATTCACTTTCACGTGTGTGGCGGGACCGGCCAACATCGAGCGTTAAGGTCCGCAGCCGTTGCATATTACTTCGCATCAAAATACCTTCGACCTGCTTTCTCCGCGGATTCCTTGGCGTCTTCGAACGTGTATGGTGTTTTCATCACACGCCGCTGCGCCGAATACACTACTGGCTCCATCGTCTGTACGGACGAATTTGACGATCGTTTTGACTTCATCTCGGCTTTATGTGCTTCTAATTCCACTTTGGCCACTCGCACATTAGGCGGAAGGCATGTCACCGTCAACAACGCGACTATAAACTTGCATCCTGTTAGTCTTGATGTTGCGGTCCATCGCACGCTTTGTGCTGCAAGGTGCGCGTGTTTGATTCTATATACTTTACGCTTACAAACCCCATCACGTCAGGCGTGTGAATCTTCTGTAACATGTTCTCATGCATTTTGCTGTACATTTTCCTAGATTTGTTGCCTCCTGTGTGTACCTGAAACGAATAGTATGTGTGTGAATGGTGAAACACGAGAGCTTGATATTATATTTGTATGCGGTACAGAGAGTTCGACCTCCTGTACCAAATTAATGCATATATATTATGACCTGTCGCCTTCGTCTGAGTTCCGCCTCACTAAGCATGGTGTTTATCCAACCTCTTGGCGACGACACTTACAGAAAACTTGTCATGCGAAAATTCTCCAAACCCAAGATGACATATCTGCTTGGAATGGTTCCGTCCGAGTGGGAAACACTCAAGGTAACTCTTTCAGTATGTTCTATTACGCTTCAGTCAAACTTATTTGTTGCAGAGCGTGGCTCGTCCGATCGTGAAGGCCAAATTGGACATAAACATCAAATTTTGCAACCAACCTGCAGACCAAGTCGCTTTCGTTGTCGCAAAGGTAGCGCGCTTTCTATTCTCTAATTCAATGTTTGTCCTTACGCTAACGCGTACAGGTCATAGCAAAAATTCGTTGGCTGGATAGATATGTCGATGCGTGGCCTGTTGAGATGTATATTCATCTTTATCTCATGGGTCGTGCGCAGCGGCAAACTAGACGGTGTGAACAATTCCGCTCGAAGGTAATGGTTAATGTGTTATCTTTCTTGCTCATCTGACGTTCGTAGGCATCTTGCCCTTTGGATTATTCACGAAGGACTTGCTTTCCTCACAGTTATCCTTGGCTCCGTTCCATCAACCCTCTCGCGATGGACGCTGATCTGCCGTGCATATTAGTTCCGGCCCAGAAGCCTTCCAGATCTGCCTCGGTAATTTTCATGTTGTTCCCTTTAACTCGACTGACTGTATTGCAGCCTTCTATAGCCAATGCTTGAATCGGCGATGGCCCTCTGCTACGTTTTTTTCTAAGTGAATGTGGCTTCGACTGAGCCAACTCCTATCGTCGAGCCGACTTATTTGTGTTGGAAGTTTTCTGGTCCTTGCGTGCGGTTGATTTCCGTCGGAACCTCAGCCTCTCCTAACTCTAACGCATTCATTCTTTG